GCCCGCGAGCGCGTAGATCGCGAAGACGGCGGAGAAGAAGGCGAAGAGCCCGAGCCACTGGCCGCAGGCGCAGACGTCGGGGATCTCGTCGTAGTTCTTCGCCGGGTTCCAGTCGAAGCTCGACACCGTGTAGGAGCAGATGCCGATGAACCCGTTCTTCTCCGTGACGCCGCTCACGATCGCGCCCGCCCAGAACACGAGCAGCGACCGGAGGATCCCCGGCCCGGTGCGGCTGCAGCGCCGCGGCGCGGTAGGCGTTGGACGCCACGTCGGACCCGAAGACGCCGAGGGCTGACGCGGACTGCGCGAGCGCGAGCATGCAGACGGAAAACCCGAACCAGCCGTGCATCGAGTACAAATTCGCGCCGTCGGCGGTGGACGCCGCGAGGCCGTGGGACCGCCAGACCGCGATCAAACCGACGGTGCCGAAGACGAGCGCGGCGAAGTGGCAGGTCCCGTGCACGGCCTTGCGCCGCCGCGGCTCGATGAAATCCTCGGGCAGGCGGTAGACGAGGCTGCCGCAGATGAACGCGCCGAACGCGAGCGTCATCAGCAGCGGGTGGTAGCCCCAGACCTTGCTGCCCCAGTTCATGCCGCCGCCCGTGATCGTGTATTGCACGTAGCGCCAGGCGAGGCCCACGGTCGTGCCGGCGCAGAAGAGGGCGAGGCCCGCGGCGACCTTTTGCGACGTCGTCGTCTCGTTGACGTTGTGCACCGGCTGCGTCGGCAGCAAGGTCGATTTCTCCGACATGGTGTGCCGCTGGTTTGAGGCCACCTCGGTGTTGCGCACCTAAAACGAGGCCACGAGGGACGACGCCGAGGCAGCCCGACTGCGCGAAGTCGTCGAATGTATCTCTTCATTGCTAGCAACTTCCGGCAAGCATCGACCGAAGGCCTTGAGAACAAAACAGGGCTGCGACCCGCACCATCGTCGTTTGCGAGAGTCGCGCCGTGCGCCTACCCCTATGGCGTTGCAGACCGAGGTGCTCGCCCTCGGCGCGGTGTCGAACCGCCTCGGCGCCGACATCTCCTCGGACCTGCTGCGGTTCATCCACGCGTTCCTGATGGACGAGGCGGGCGCCCTCGCAATCGTCAACGCCGCCGACGAGCGCCTCATCGCCACTTTAAGCCCTGAATCGAACGATACCATCGATGCGGCGTGGGAGAACGCGTGCTCGCCCCCGGTCAAAGAGGCTTATCGCGTCCTCGAGGCCACGCGTCGGCGCCGCGCGCTCGCTGCATCTGCGAAGCGCCCGTGCCCGTCGCTGACGGGTGATACGCCGCACTCCGCGCCAGATCCCTCGACCGCGGCCACCGCGGACGCGCGCGTGAGCTGGAGTCTCGGACTTTGTTTCGGCTGGAGTAACTCGTTCTAAGCTCGGCGCGCCGCGTAACACCTCTGTTGCGAGAGTTCCAGACTTCTAGGCCGCCTGGGTGTTGCGCACCTAAACTAAAACGAGGCCACGAGGGACGGTCGACGCGAGGGCAGCCCTACAGGGCGATCGCGTCGACTGTGTGGTGCAACTTTCCGGAAACATCGACCAAATCACTGCTGGGATTGAGATTCGAGGATGCCACCCGCACGCACGATGATTCTGCTAGTCGTGCTCCCCATCGCGAAGGGGCTGCGCATGCCCGCGCGCGGCGTGCCGCAGATGACGAGCACGAAATACGAACGCACCTTCGTGCGGCCGCCGGCGCGCCGCTTCATGTCCGCGCGGGGCCTCGGCGGCCTCGCCGCGCGCGGCCTGTCGGCGGCGACGCTCGCGCTCTCGGTCCGGGCCATCGTCGCCGACGCCGCGAAGCCGCTCGCGGCCGCCGCGTTTCGCACGTGGACCGAGTTCGGCCGCGTCGCCGGGATTTGGTTCGCGGCGAACGCGGCGTTGTTCTTTTCGCTCGGCGCGCGGCGCCGCGACCGCTGGCCCGGCGTCGACGCGGCCGCGCCGAGGTTCAAGGACTACCCACTCTTCACGTGGGTCGTTCCAGCTTTACAGCAGCTCCTCTTCTTCGTGCCCGCGTCGGCGCACCTCGCGGCGGCCGCCGCGGGCCGCGCGGCCCCCTCCCGCGCGGCCGTCCACGCCGTCGCCGGCCTGTTCGGGATGCAGGCGCGGGACCTCGTGCTCATCGACTCGGATTACCTCATGACCTGCCACCACGTGCTCACGATGGCCATCTGCCTGCTGATCTGGCGCGGCGTCTCGCGGTCGCCGTTCGACGCGCCCTGGGCCGCGGCCGTCGCGCTCTGCGCCTGCGCCGTCGAGGCGGGCAGCCTCGGCACGAACGTGTGGAACTTCTTCGGCTCGAAGGCGGCCTTCTTCGGCCTCGTGACGCTCTCGCACGTCGTCGGCCTCGGGGCCGGGTACGCCGTGCTCGCGCGGCGCGCGCCC